TGTGTTGCTGTGTGTGTGTCTGCTGTGTGTGTGTGTGTGTGTGTGTGTGTGTTGCCCTGGCTGGCAGTAATGAATCCAGTGGTGCTGTTGGCATGAGCAGGGCCATGCTATTAACCTCTTTGCCAGCTAGACTGATCTCACCCTGTCTGTCTGTCTCATCGGCCTAATGACACACTCTCACACTCCGAGCACAAACACATGCGCACACACACACAAACCTGTCCTTTCTAATCAGATTTCCATTGACGTGAAAAGTATTCTACATCGTCCAATCATCTCTATTCACAGAGTCAAAAAGCTTCTGCCAGCTTCGAGAGAATATTTCTTTTTCTTTCTTTTTTTATACCACCCACTCAAAGGAAGGCACTCTTCAAAACTGTTTCAAATGTATTAATCTCCGCTGGTCCTCTGCAGCCAGATCAGATTTCACTATATTTTACACCAGCCATCAGTTACAGCATGACTTTTACGAGTGGATTTTCTCACTCGTAACAGTCGCAGGAAAGATACAACTCTGGATGTGGGCTCTTTGCTTTTTTTTTTTTTTTATCTGACAAGGCGGTAGTTGTAGTAGTTACGTCACACCGGAGTCCCTTATAACACCATCATTGGAGATATAAATCACTCCCGAGTTTGAGAGACTTTTACTTTGCCAAGCCTGCCAAGGGAAGATTTAAAGGGACATTTCAAAGTTTAGGACTCGAGGCGAAAGCTGGAAGTGGACGACAAGCCCCAAATTACAGCCTGCGTGCACGTTTAATGAGTTTGTGGCAGCGTTCCCTCGCTGAATAAAAAAAAAAAAAGAAAGCAACATGACATGATGGGGAAGAAATATGACATGAAAAGCGCTGTCATACTGCCTCACCAGCGGTCGTAAATGTTGTTTAATAATCTTGGCTTTTGTGTGTGTGTGTGTGTGTGGAGCTCTGTCTGTGTGAATAAGAAAACCCCAGCCTCCATAGGAAATCCTTAGAGGAGTGAGGAGCACCTGGCGCTGTCTGTAGTCATAACAAACGACAAGAAGGGATTAAGACTACATTTGTATTTGTGCCAGCTTGTTACACGCACTCCCTGTTCACATTCTCTCTCATAACCACCGTGTAATGCAGCATCGGCACTTGGCGTGGCTTCGCCCTCGTGAGTTAGTTTTTTTAACTGCGCTGCTCTGGAATGCCGCGCCTCGTCCATGTGTCCCTCATTAAGGTTACGGCCTGGGACGAGCCTGCAGTAATATCCCACACACCTCATCCCATCTGTGAGCTGACCGAGACGGAGATAATGTAGAGCGGAGGATGCATTTGGCAAGCTGGAGGACATAAAGTTAGAGGTTTTTTTTTGCAGTGCGAGTTCATTAGGCGGAGGACTGCTGGGAGACGGGTGTCATCTCTGCTCGGAGCTAAATCGAGGGCCTTTAGCTCTGGGACAATCAGATGAATTGGAAAATAGATAAGTTTGTGTAGGCTTGGGATGTTGTTACTTGATCTTCTGGCCGTTCCAAGAACATCGCGGGTTAGAAACTCTGGCTTTTATGTGATGGAGCGCTACAGCGTGGCACCTGACTCGTGCCGTCTCACTAATTTCCCTGGATTGCTTTTAATTTAAAGTGAAGCTCTGACCTTAATGTCTCCCCTCTAACTGTTATGCGATTGGTTGTTTCAGCAGGTGGCGCCGTATGGCCAGCAGGGGATGGGGGGCTACACCCAGCAGCAGCAGCAGCAGCAGCAGCAGCAGCAGCAGCAGCATGGGGGGCAGCAGGGAACCCCTCCATACTTCAGCCCCCCTCAGCAGACCCCTCCAGGCCCGACCCAGACTTCCTACCTGCAGCCTCGACCGCCGCTGCAACAGGTACGAGCTCATGTTCGCCCACACGGCTGCTTCCTGTGCAAGACATTCATTTTTAATCGAGTTCCTTTTACGTGGCGTGAGCAGAAATGGAAATGGTAGCCCTAACTCAATAAATAAATATGAATAAATACATCAGTTACTCGTACAAATATACATATGTTGCTTATCAGACGTGGCATCAAGAGCGAAATTTGAACTATCAGCAGGAAGGGGATTTCATGCAAATCTTTTTTAATGTGTTGTAGTTTAATATTTTAGCGGTGCTGAGATTGAAGAGAGCATCTTAAGGGATAAACTGTGCGTATTTGTGCCGGTGGTCCAACGTGCCTGGTGTTTTATTGGCTCGCATTATTCATGAGGGGTATTTTAGGGTAAATCTCACGCTCTATGTTGCTGAATAATTTTGCACTCTCTCGCTCAGATCACATACATCCACGCGTAGATGTTCACAGACTGGACGGTCGTAGTGTATGAACACATATTGTACATTTTCAAGCCCGCCAGTGCAATCCCAATTCTCAGAACAACAAAGGGCCTGTTCCACAGATATGGATCGAGACTTGTCCTGCCAAGTTACAGCCTGATGTTCTGTTGAAGATTTCCACTGGGAAGCTGGGTTCAAGCAGTTGTTTTTTTTGAGTTGAGTGAAGGCTGCCCATGTGTTTCCCATCCACTCTGCAGCCAGAGGGATCCATCAGCCTGCATGGAGTGACTCTGGCTCGCAGCCCTACCCTGGATCGTTACAAAACGGAGCAATGGAAAGAAAAAAAAAAAAGGACAAGACGGGAGAGTTTACAGCAGAACTGGACTGGACAGAATATATCGGATAGAACAGGGAGGAAAGAAGGAGTCGTTTGAGCAGGAGTGGAGTGAAGCAGGGGTGGCCCGAGTCCTCCTGCAAGATCAGTGTCAATGCTGATAAAGGCTTGTTTAAATTAGTCAATATTGGCTATAGAGTACTGCGGTGTGAAGCAGATGTGCAAAATAACAAAAGGCCCTTTCAAGCATGCGCCCCTTTCTGTTAATCTGACAGCACCTCAGCCTGTCAGCTTCACGTCTGAATGAGTTTTCTGTGAAGTCGTCACGACAGTCCTACATGGTCGGACCTGGTAGCCTTTCCATTCCACTTTCAACACAGAGCACAAGTCTGAAATGCATGCAGCTGCATTAACGGAAAGACACCACAGACTATATATATATATATATATTTTATGTACAGTCTGGTATGTGCAAGTGACAGTACTTATAGTTGTGTAGAGCCACTGGGGTAGACTTTTTTTTTTTCCATTTCATCAACAATATTCATCCAAAAGCCCTCACAGAGAAAGACACAGTTTACATGTCCACACATGAACCACATTTCCCATCACTTTGCCTAAACATTGACATCTATTACTGAACTATCTGAAGTGACAGAAAGGTTCTTAAAAATAATGGTTATGAAGACAGACTAACAGGTCAGACGAATGAGACTCATCACTAATTAATGCAATCTGAGTGCTGACAAAACATGAACAGAAGCTAACGTTTTTGTTTGTTGCTTCCAGCTGTTTGAGGATTCTTTCCTCTGAGTTTATTAAATACCTGCAGCATCCGACAGCAACGGGATCCATACGAACGTCTCTGAAGCGAGAGCATTGTGTGGAAACCTGATTAACTACCGTAAATTCCGGACTATAAGCTGCTACTTTTTTCACACGCGTTGAACGCTGCGACTTAAACAATGATGCGTGTTACAGGCACTGTTCGAATAAAAAGCATTTACGTATTTGTGTATGTTAGTGGTACGTATTTAATTAAAAGTTTAAAAAGTCTTACAGAAGTGCGGCCTATGTATGTACAAAACTTGTTTTCTTTTTAAAGTTAGTGGGTGCGGCTTATATTCAGGTGCGCTCATAGTCTGGAATTTACGGTACTTATAATTATAAATGATCCCCAACATGTTTTATTCAAGCATTTCGATGTCACTTGATGTACCGTCCAATCTTGCATGTATGACAAATACGGCGTGCATACCATGGCTCTTTCTCTCTACGTCTAAACGAAGCCATGAGGAACATCAACGTTAAATGACAGAATGTGGTAACTTTAATAGATTGGATTAATTAAGCCAGCAATGTTGTGCATCCCATGTGGAAAAAAGGGCTCAAGTAAAATTACTTTAACTTAACTGAAGCACAGTTTTTGAACATTTGACTACATTTCTTGTGATATTTGCAGTTTACTTTCTGATTTATCCAGACTTTTCAAACAGTTTCTAAAACACTTTGTCTTAATATAGATCTGGATACTTTAATGTATGTGAAGTATTAATAGTAATACCCAGCTCAGTCTCACAATAAAAAGTGATAGCTACTTTCGTCCTAAAGATGTTATTTTCACCAAAGAAGTAAAGCTATAAATTGTGAGATGCTTTTTTAGTCTAATCTTGAGGGCAGCCCAACACCACTCACACCACTTTTATTCTGAATTTGTGTCATTATCTGTACAGAAAAGTGTATAAAACACAGCACAGATCAGAATACTTGAGAGATGTGCTGCAGTCTCTCCGTAAAGTCCCATTTCTCAATCCTTGTTTTTCTTTTTCCGTCTGCAAACAACAGCACAGGGCAGCATGAACACTACAAGTATCAGCGGGGACAACAGTATTTCCAAACGTCCCTTTTTTTGGCCCAGACACTGAGTAGGCCATTAGTGGTTCACAAATGTGTGCAGACTTATTTAGCATCTGCACAAGCTGATGCCATTTGGCACTGCTGGAGTTGTGTCTGTCGAGGTACTTATACTGTGATTTACTGAGATGTAGTTAAACCTTCCTTTAGACAGACTTGAATATTGAGCACACCAAGACAAATAGCCAAGCAAAAAGCCATTGTGAGCACAAAAGCAGGTTGTCAAAAAAGGAAATCGTCAGTCTTAGCATAGTAATTTTCATACTGAGTGAACGTTTCAGCCGGCGCGCCTTTTGTCTCACACTGAAAAAGCACTTACTCTTGTTTTCTCACTTAACATGCTCACACACACAGACTGTGCAGCCTATTGAACAAACATTATTCACTCTAACTAGGAGAGGCTGAGATCCATGGCCACGTTGACATTTTGTGACAGTAATGGTGTGTTTTCATCATCGCTGATGATGTGGCGGCAATTGACCCACGCTGACATTTATGTACCAGGTAGTTCTGCCCGAGCACTCTGATTGGACAAAGCCCCGTTTCACCTGTGCTGATAGGGCCCCATATTGGTTGCTATGCCAACTTCTGTGATGATCAGGGAGCCGGTTCCCCTCTGTTTTTCATTGTTATGCATGTACGCTTCTTTAAGAGGAAATGTCTCAATCAGCGCACATGCTTGTTAAAGCCGCATAAAAGCCTCGATACCTTCGGCAGCCTTTGCATCGCCGTTGCATCCTGCTGTCTTTACGTATAATCAAAAAATCCTTCCGATGGGTTATAGCTATCCAGCAATTTGTGTTCCAGCGACACAGCAGGCAATGTGTTGATACCTCCTGGTTTCCGACTACTTACCGTCGCATGATAGAGCCGGATAAATTCACCATTTCCATCAGCTAATAAGCCCCCGGCTCCCGTACTTTTACATCTTTACATTTTGGCTTTGTGTAAGAAATGAGATTTAACAGGAAACCCGGCTGTTAATGAACAAGAACGGTTGAAGGGCCGGCTTTACCGACCAGCGGCCCAATTCATTTGAAACTTAACAGGCTTGATATATGCACTATGTGCAAATGGAAATGTACAATTAGTAATAGGCCAGATCCTTTAAAACAGAGGTGGGTTTTTTTTTTTGGCTTATACACGCACGGTTCCATCTTGTGTGCAAAATCCAGGTCCAAGGTCTCACTTTCTTCCGGCAGTTTATGTTGAAGTAATTACCGCAAATACACAATATTGATCATTAAAAACCATGACATTTTACGCATAACAACAACACGCCCGTGCTGTGGCATTAAGACAAAGTTAATTGTCCATCGATTGCGTGAGAGCGGAATTTTGGAGAGCGAAATAAATATCAGAAAATACCAGAATAAATTTAAATAACAAAAGAAACGAAGTCTCCATCTTAAGATTTTTGGATCCGAGAGGTAAACATGTTTGGAAATTGAACTTGCGCAGCGCTGTTGGCCAAGATTACAAACAGAAGATTTGGTGTGCTTTCAGCTCAGTGCTCTATTACTCTCGTTTTTTTTTTTCCCCCTGTTGAGCGAGTGTGTGTCTTTCTATCAGTTTTTTGTATATGTGCGCCTGTGTGTACACTAATCAGCCGAGTGTGCTGCACAGCAATTCTGAGCTGTGAAAAGGTCAAACAGTGACCTTTGTCTGTGATTCTGGGCTGAAATGAGACATGATGTGAGCCGCACAGAACGGATTACACGCACACACTATACACACAATTGCCAGCGCACGCCAGATTAGGATGTCATTGTGGTTTTGACCCCTGTTTTTTGACCCTGCATTACTCTGAGAAATCCAAGCTGAAAAGTTCTTTATTTTGTTCTTCCGGCACTCTCCGCAGTTCCTTTCCCCCCACTCCACTCCCATTAACCCTAGCCAGAGGACATCCTCCAGTTGATGGAACCATTCCAGCTGCCTTTGACACAGAATTTGCTCTGCAACCGACCGCTATTAGCTGGTTTTGTAACAAATCGAAGTGAAAACGCCGCCTTTCTTTGAGTCTATTGCACTGCTGTGACCTCATCTGATTGCGAGGAGCAAAGAAGGCTAAAAAGACATTTCTAAGACATCAAGGCTGATACAAAAAAAAGTAAAAAAATATATATAATATCGCATCAGGAGAGAAGTAGACTTTGAAAAAAAAAAAAAACTAAATGTGGGAGGTTTGCTCGTGGATTTTTGAATGCCTTGGGTGTTTGAGAACACCACACACTTTTTAAAAAGAGGATTGTGAGTTATAGTTCGAAGAAACACAGACATGTACTTTTAATTGACTGGCTTTTTAACCTCACACACTAATTTATTTCT